TTAAAAAATGTGTGAAAAACGGGAATTTGACCAGGTGAGATAATTACTTAATTGCTATAGTCTATACTATACTTGGCTTAGCAAGTATGTGAAAGATGAACTTATAGTGAAAAAATAAGAGAACAAATACAAAGTTAATGTATTTGATTATCTGATGATCTTATTATGACATCTTTTCAAATTAATTTTTATTACTATTTTCTTTATTATATGTTATATCTTTAATTCATTTAGAATTATATCAAGATTTAAAAGTACATATTCTTTTTTTTCAGAAATTGGACTTAATAATAAATAATATGAAACAAATATTAATTATTTATTCAATAAAACTAAATATTTTCCCATAAATATATATATAATTTCAATAAAATGCTTATAAAATTGTATTAAACCTCTTAAGAATACATTAAGCTAAATCAGGTATTCACAGGTAAATCCAGGTAAATCCAAAACAGAAATCAGACTATAATTGCTATCAAAACACACTTCACACCGGTTGTTCTATACTAATTACCAAATGTGTGCAAAACGGGAACACACCCCCATGCATACATGGATCCCCCTGCCTTTAAAGTTCAGATGATGCCAATCACTTTGTTTGCACATAATTATGTGTGTATTTACCTATCTCATGTAACACTATATATTTACTCTTCCCCGGGATACTCTAACAAATTAAGCAGATTTTCTCTGCCATATTTTGATTACAGAGTGTCAGGGTAAAACTTTCCCTTTTTAGTCTGCATTATTCATAGGGATAACTTGACGACTCAGTTTTTGGTATAAATTTGAGGTAACATGAGCATCTGAAAAAAAAAAAAAGATTTGAAAGGGGGATTGTTTACTGAGGAATTTAAAAGTTGAAGGGAGATAACTTACAACCCGCACCTCAGATCTCCACATTTTTTCCTTATTCAAAATAAGGAAAAAATGCGGACGGGAGTATTTGGACTAATTTTCCGCATTCATTCCAGATTTTCGTAGATTCAAATTTCCAGATTTTCTCCGTATTCAAAATATGGAGAAAATGTGGATGGGAGTATTTGGACTCTTTTTCCGTATTCTCTCCAGATTTCCGCATTTCCATATATACAAAGTATGGAGGTATTTACTTGGTTGATAAAATGCGGAAATACGGAAATCTGGAGAAAATACGGAGTTAATCACATGGTTATAAAATAAATGGCTAATAAAACCGCTACATGATGCATACATACATAAATATTTACAAAACCATCAACAATGTGCAAAATTATATACAATTTATTATATCATTATGAGAAAAAAACATATAAATGAATGAACAAAATTACACATTATGTTCATGAGCAATGTATTGGATCTTATATCTTTGACAAACAAATAGGAGCATGTATGGAAAAAAAACTGGAACTCTTATTTAAGCCACAAGTTCATGGAAAAAATGTGGCATTTTTTAATATTCATATTAAATAAATGGAAATTTATTCATTCTATTTAAGCAAAAGTGGGAGTGAAATGTTCAACACTATTAGGTACTGGGGAAAAAATAACAATTGACATAGCATTGAATATTTACAAAACAAGAAAAAATTTTAGACATTTTTTATCAATCTGGATCACATTTGCCATTTTCTACCTGCATCCCTGATTCATATTTCTCACAATTCAATTTATATCTCAGGTCTGTGCTTTACACCCATCTGTCCAATAAAAATTTTCTTCAGACTTCTTTGTAATTTGTAAGGTCTCTGCATGTTTAATTTCTTGCAGCAGCACTTGCGGTCGAATTGGCAAATCCTATCAATTAAAAAAAAAGTACTTAAATTATAATCAGTCAGGGGTGGTACTGAAATCAGTCATTTTTGAAAATGATGGATAATGGTCATTTCTTCTAAGTATATAATGTACACGATTTTCTGATTTTTGTAAATATGACATCTTTTCATCATATTTCCATTCTCAAGTCAGCTTTCCCATCCCATTTACTACAGTAATTAGATATAGTACACTACCCTGCCATAGACCCTTGTGTAGAGAAACATCTTGACAAGTAATTGAAACCAAAATAATTTAGTGCGCCCCGTAAAACTAATGAGATAATTAAGTGCGCCCAGACCTAACAATTTGATAAAAAATGATGAAAAACAGTCATTTTTAATATCAGAGATAACTCTATTTCTAAAATAAATTTCAAAATAGAAATGACTGTTTTTCATCATTTTACTAAAAAATGATGAATTTCCATCATTATTAAAAATCAATTTAATGACTGAAAATCATCATTTTTAGAAATGATGGATTTCAATCACACCCCTGACTGATAATGGTGCAATATTAATAAAATTTAAATTCATTGCTTTTATTCCTTTTAAAATCTTTTTATAAACACAAGTTTGGGTTCTTCAATTTAATATCAATTTGTTTAAAATATTATTTATAATAATGACAATCATAGTTGACTGTTTTTAATTAAACAAGCAATAAAAAAAGAAAAAAAAGAATATATATACCTCAAACATAACCATCCATGGACCAAGCTTTAAGCCCGTTAAAATCGCAGTAAGTTGAATAAGCACTTATTCTTTTTCAGAAATCTCCTCCTCATGCACAGACGCTACCAAAAAAAAAATGTATGGTAAATCATTGCTAGAGATTACACCCCATGGCTCCCCAAAATTAACACCTTTAATTGTGGTTAACAATAATAAAATTCTATGAGCTGATTGAAAGATTTGAATCATGGGCATATTGGCTGAAACGTACGTAGCCTGGTAGCTCAGTCCTAGGCCTAGAGTATTTATTTTCATCATCACAGTGACACACATGTTAAAAAAAATATGACTGACCTACCGCATATGAAATACGTGTGTCTGCATCTTTTGGTTGATACAGCAATACGATCTCAGGCTGTCTGGTCAACAAACTTCTTCCTTTAGACAGAGCAGACGTTGCAACATGGAGGCCAAGGTTAAATTTTGGCGGTCTGTTGTTTAAATTAATTGATCACTGAGCCCGACTTTTTGAAACATTCTTCCGATCCCGATCAAATTGTACATAACATTCAGGAGAAACAGAGAACTGCTGTTAACTCCAAGACAGTTTTTATGCACCCAAATTTTTTCGGGGTGCATATTGTTTTTGTCCTGTCTGTCTGTTTAGCTGTATGTCTGTCTGTTTGTTTGTCTGTTGTCAACTTTAACCTTCGCCATAACTTTTGAACTGTGAGACTTAGAGACTTCATATTTGGTATGGATACTCCACTACAAAAACACTTTCAACTGACACCAAGGTCAATGACCTTATGACCTTGATTGTGACCTTTATGCTAAAAATAGCTTTTTCGAACTTTCGCCATAACTTATGAACCGTGAGAGATAGAGACTTCATATTTGGTATGCATACTCCACTAATTAGGCACTTTCAACTGACACCAAGGTCAATGACCTTGTGACCATGACTGTGACCTTTATGCTAAAAATAGCTTTTTGGAACTTTTGCCATAACTTCTGAACGGTGAGAGATAGAGACTTCATATTTGGTATGCGTACTCCACTAATTAGGCACCTTCAACTGACACCAAGATCAATGACCTTGTGACCTTGTTTGTGAACTATGTGCTAAATATAGCTTTTTTCGAATTTTCGCCATAACTTTTGAACCATAGATGATAGAGACTTAATATTTGGTATGCATACTACACTAATAAAGTGCTTTCAAATGACACCAAGAACAATGATTGTGTGACCTTGACTGAGACCCATTTGCTAAAAATTGCTTTTTAGAACTTAATGTTGCCGCCAGGTGCTACTGTGTCTCACAAACACATCTTGTTCTTGATGAAAAAATTCTAAGTCCAGAGCTCCGTATTTTTTCCGGATGAAAAATATTCTAAGTTAAGAGTTCAATATATTTTCCAGATGAAAAATAGACTAAGTCCAATTCTCCATATTATTTCCGTTTATTTTCCAGATTATTTCCGTATATTTTCTGCTTTTCCGTATTGTTAATTTTCTCCGTATTTTTTTCCACATTTTTTCCATATTAAAATGAGGAAAAAATGCGGAATAATGCGGAAATCTGGAGATCTGAGGTGCGGGAAACATCTCAAAGTGTCCACATTTGAAAGGGAAATAACTCAAATGCATCCTATTATCTTATATGTAACAATTTCTAAACACTGATTCAGAAGATAACTTGCAGACTCAACTTTTGCATACAGTTGGGATTATATGAGGATGTCAAAGTCTAAACAGGGGTATATCAAAGTCTGAATGGGGAATAACTTATTTATAAGCTTTAAGGATCTCAATATCTGTAATGGAGATAACATAATTATCTCAAGATATCAAATTGTTTGGAAGGGAGACAACTCCATGGCATCTCAATACCTAAAAAAAATATTTTCTCACAAGCATTGGTTTGAGAGGGTGATAACTAAAATACTTTGAAAATTATCAATGTCTCAAAGAAAGATAACTGATAGAGAACTCAATATCTGAAAGGGAGGTAACTTGTGAGGTTTCTAATGATTCTCAGTAGCCACAGGGTACTGTAAACCAGCTTTTATTCGCGAGCGAGAAATTTTCGCAAAGTTCGCGAGAGCCTCGTCATCGCGAATATTTCTCGCCGCGAACTAGTCTTGAAAGTCTCTGTGTCTATCAACAACAGATAAAAAAAAGCTTGATCGCAAAATTAAATCGTCATGAACTAGTTTAACCCCATAAAATAAAATTGCCGCAAATAAAAATTGGTTTACAGTATTTCTTAAAAATATTGTAATTGGAGATCTTATAAGACAGGAGAACTACTATCCTCCCAAGAATAAATCATGTATTTGAAGAACAAGGCAGAATAAACTATGCCATCTATTTGAGTTTAATCATCCCAATATATTTCTGTAGACATTCAGTAACATGCCTAATAAGCAATAATATGCCTTTTCTTCCTATGAGTACCTACAGTAACTAACCTTATAAGTTATAAGCAATATCGCCCCCTCCTTTCCTGTGTTCCTACAGTAACAAACACTATAAGCATTATGTCGCCCCCTCCTTTCCTGTGTACCTACCAAGTATCTGACCTGCTGCCAGTTTAGTCTGCATGGCCCCCGCCAGTTTCCCACCAAACAGTTTTTTGACTGTTTCATTGGAGGAATTTCCATCATTTCCATCACTAGCTTTCGGCTGAGTGCTTAACTTTCTCACCAGTTTTCCAAAACTGGACATTTCTTAGGACCTCTATGATAAAGTTTCAGCATTATGACAAATTTGGATTTCAATCTTTACAAAGTATCTTTAAATATGTCTAAACATAACCTCCTGAACAAGAAAACTTTTTTTGAATTTTTCATTAACTGAAAAACTGATATTATTATCATTATCTTCAAAACTGAATGTATTTTTGAAAGTGTTGAATTAAATTCACTGCTACAATATTTTTTAGATCTGAATCTTGCATTTGAAGAGAGAAATAAAATTCATTTAAAATTCAAAATCTCTATTAACAACTTTTTTCTTCAATTTTCAGAGCCAACCAATTCCATAACAACCGGACCCAAAACAAAAATTCCTACCTTGAACCCTTCTACTCTCCGACAACAAACACAGGTCTAAGAATTCGAAACAAACACATTTCCTCTGTGTAAGAACTTTTCAAAAAGTTTTAAAATTGAGTGCCACACTTCAAAGAGTCGGTATTTGGTCACTTTTGATGATTGTTTAAAAAGCAGTCTGGGCCAAACAATAGCCAACATACAGTGGACAAATGGTGTGAAAAATCACAATTAAACACTCATAAAGTTAATTTATACTTTGAGTCCATTTGTACACTCGGGGAAAATGCTGAATGAAAGGCACTTTATAAAAAGTCCAAGTTTATATGGTTCTAAAAACACATCACGAGTTCCAAGTAGTTTTTTTTTTAGGAGTTTTAATTCCGAAGTGCAATTAACGAAAATCCCTTACTTATACATTGTAAATATGTAACTTGTTATTCAAAATGAAATATGAAAAAATCCAAACTTTTGGCGACTTTGTGTGAAATTGAACTCTTCCATTTAATCAGCCTAATTAAACATAAATAATGAAGTTAATCACCCATGAATATTGAGGCTCATAAGTGAAAGTCAATGGGTTAATTCAAATACACGAATTTGAAATCTGTCACATTTCAACCAGGAGTCATAATGCAGAGATCAAATTTCTAGCCATTTCTTCAAGGTAAGCTGGACAGCTTAATTACCATGAAATGATAATTATGTTTAATAATTTTCAATACACTTATGTAATTTCTACATCATTGGCAGATTTTCATTGCCTGATAAATATCTTAATCACTGTTAATCTGTCTGCAATCGATTTCACCACTTGACAGTTCTAACTAATAAATCGGTAATAATCCCAGTATATAATCCTAATTTTTTTTCAACTCCACTATATCAAAAAATATCTGAATATTAATTGCTTTATCCATCGAAGGTGAATTGACTGTACATTCATAAGATCATTTATGTGCAAAAGTGCATTCGTGTTATTTTTTAGTTTGTCTGTAACTTGTAAATGCCATATTAACTTGCTGGCATCTGATCTTGAACGGATAGGTATATAATATTAAAAATGTTTTGACTTGGGAAAAAGAGAAATGTGTAAGCATAATTCTTTAAAACACATTGAAAAATTTAATAATTTTATAGGTAATTATCAGTTAAGTCATCCAGGGAACTCCACAATCTGCAAAAGCACCACTCTCATCATTTTCTCTCTTAAATGAACAATTCAACTTTCAACACATCTTCGCTAGCCAAGGGTTTCTGATACGCTACTCTCCTCATAAACCCTTGGCATACGGTGAAGTCAAAAGACGGGATTATTTTCGTCACGTGATCTTGAATTTATCAGGTACGCACAGATTGCGTCATCGACAGAAATAAAGACGCATGTTTAAAAAAAATTAAAGATTTTTCAAGAATAAATTAGAAGCAATAATTGAGTAATGTTTATTCATTACTTATAGTACAAATCGGAAGCTTCAATATAGATTCCTAATCACATATTTAGAAGATATTGGATGACACCATAGCTATTCATAGAATTGCATGTAATCTTACGGATCGTTGTTTACTTGCGTTTTTCAATTCCAAGATTAAAGAGTCAAGAAGTATCCCAAAGGCAAACATCGTCATTTACAAAAAACAATTGATGATTGGTCGACAGGTGTGTACTGAAATCCAATCAGAACTCTGAAAAAAAATCCCGATTTTTATGAACACCGTAGGCCAAGGGTTTATGAGGAGAGTAGCTTATCAGAAACCCTTGGCTAGCGAAGATGCTTTCAACAATGATATCTAAGTAAGCCAAAGTCACGCAATAGAATTACAACACTGAAGAACCATAAAAGTCAACAAGACAAGTGTATATTATACATTTATTGCATGATAGTGAGGGAAATACGAAGTCTTCATGTTTCCCGAACATTCATGCAATGAATTGTTTATTATACCGAAACAAGAAAAACCCTTGAAAAAAACATACACTTTCAAATTCGGCACTGCTCTCAAATTTACTTTCATTTTGAATGTAAAGTTACTAAAACCTTTTGGTCAACACAATATTATCAATTTTGTGACGTAAACAAGGCTATTGTGACGTCTACTACTCACGGGAGTTTTTCTTTAAATGAACAATAATTATTGCGGGAAAATGCACTTGAGATATCCGAAGAGGTGGAATATATTGAAAAGCATGCAGACTGCCGTGAAATATGAAAATTTACGGCCCAATCGGGTGACAACCCATCTTCACCAAGGGTTTCCGATCTGATACCTACTCTAGTAGGTATCGGATCAGAAACCCTTGGCTAGCAAAGATGGTGATAACTTAGAACCAATCAGATGACATCTTGTGTAGAATATTTATAATGAGGTATAATAAATTTACTTCTCCCCATTTCGCCTCGCTCATTTCTTTTTTATCCACTTGTAACAGCTTGGAAACAAATAAACTCTTACCTTTTAGAGCGGACATGATGCAGTATCATTAAGAAGTCCAACTCACAATGTTCAATATCAGCAATTATCCTCAATCATTCCTTATTCAACTTTACTTTATAAAACAACTTAAAAATACAATTAACTTAGATCACACATTTTGCCCATCGTTAAATTGCTTTATTCTTTTGTCTCTAAGGCCGTACCGAGGTAAATAATAAGATGATTATCTCCCCTTTTTAAAGCTGAAATTTATGAAAAGATTTTATCTGCTCATGATTTATTTACAGCAAAAGCCCCTCCCCCTCTATAATAGATCAACATCACCCCCCTGACCAAAGGCCCCAAACAAACTCACCTTTCAGAGCAGAATGCATTGCTGACATGACGTCAAATTGTAAACCAAGAATACTTTCAATATCTAATTTTGTAGTTTAATTCACTAAACTATCCAGAAAATAAATTTTGAAGACAAAAAAACTTTGCTAAGTTAATTTGTTTTGGTGAACTAATGATTTTTTTTTTGTATCCATGTTAAACTCAGTCTGATTGTTATCAGTACTAAGTCATTTAAAAAAAAACAATACACAGTTATCTTCCCTTCAGATCAGATGAATTAAACCCCCTTAAAGTCCAGCCTGGATACCCAATCAGATAAAGCAGTATATATCTATTTATCAGTGGGTATATATAAAGACATTAATATTGGGGGTATTTAATTCTAGTGGAGGGATTAAACTAACTACAATGCATTGACATGGTATGTATATTGTTGCATTTTTCCCCCATCATTTTAGAATATTTTTGGTTTAGTCTTTCTGTAAAATTATATATGTTGGGAAAAAAATATTACTTTTACTTGTGATTGTTCTTTTTGAGATTAATATGTTGAAAGCAAGGTCTGAGTGAAGGAGTTGGGAAGGGGGGGGGGTTGTCCCCAAGACCCTGGGCCCAGGAATTTCCCCTTCTTATAATCATAATCCCCTGGCTACTGTGGTTTTCTCCTCTATTCCCCCGTTAAGGGAAGAAGCCCACACCGTCTTCTACTTTTTAAATGTCCCCTGTTTTTTTTTGTTTTTAATTTCTTTTAATTCTTAAGAACAGCCTAGGAGAAGGGGGGGGGGGGGGCTCATCCTTCTTTGGAGTTAAAATATTATACTGAGTCAGCCAATTAGCAGACATCTTTATCCAGATTTGATGGCCAACGAAAATTTATATCACCCATTCTTGAATATTTAAAGACTTTCTTTATTTCCAATCCCCATGTTCGTTTATTACCTGTGCTAAATTGCACAAGTTTGTTTTGTTATAAACCTCACAGAATGCTCAACAAATAGTTGAAGCTACAGACACATGGACCAAAAATACTCACTCAACCGTGATAGCATCTGAATTGTGTGAACTGAACCGCGAAGTTTCATCAGCGCTCGGGTGGTTGAAGATTTTCTCTCCACAGAAGGCAGTTTCACTGCCTTTTTATGTCCCGTTTGACCACCCTCACGGTCACTCGACCCGCCATCTTGCTTTTCCTTTTGACCTTGAGTCTTTGGCGATTTTTTGTGGGCTTTTCCCACTTCTATATTAAATGTGATAGTGGCCTGACTTGTTGCTTTGGACATTTTTGTACTTTTTCAAAAAAGTTAAACAATATTTCACAGATGTGTATGTCACAGAAGTTCAAAGATTGTACAGTTTTCCATGCTCTATGAAGTCACATAACAAAATTCTTTAAATTCATTTGATAGAAAATGCAGCAATAGAAAGACAATTCCTTGGATTATTTTCACAAATACGTCTCCCTTAGTGTTAGTAAAAGAATTTCTTTCCTAGCTGCTGAATTTCTCAAAATTACTTTTTGTGATTTTTGGCTACAACATAAGCATCCTTCAATTAGGAAAAAAAACAAGCAAGGTGCTTTTTATCATAATTAAGCTCCATCTAACGAATCAAACAGCCGAAAACACAAACTTCTAATGACCCAATTTGATTCCAGTTGATTTAGCGGAGAGATTGGTCCTGAAAATAACCATGCTCAAAAACGACCACATCCAAATTAGGCAAAATGTGTTCTTATTAAAAGATCAGCTGAATTTGGACGCAACTGAGAAAAACAAATCAATATATTTACAGATTTTGCTCATTAGCAAACTTGTACCACAAAGCTCCAAAGACAGTTTTTATCCACAGAGAACCTAGCTATTGTCCATTAGCTCATGTCAAAGAATTGTGACAATGTTAACATCAGAATCCCACGGGTTGATCAGTCTATCCTGAGGATATTGAATCGGAATATCTCCAATTAATTAAAATGTTTCTCGTTAATACGGTATGATTATTCCACAGGGCATTTTATATTGATGAAGTTTTTCTGCTTTACAGTTAATCTAATCGGTCAAATTTTAGCAAGAATGTTAGTTAATTGATGGGTTAATATCTCTAGTTTAATCAGGAACAAATTTATATTAAATCCCATGACAACTAGAACAATTTGTCATATTTTTTAATTTTTGTCCTTCCAACACAAATCTGTAACATTTTTCTTAGTAAGGATAGCATATATGCCTGGTTTATCCACTGAATCGACAAAATGGAATAATATAATATCATTTCCTTATTTGAACAATTATATCCCAAATCAAGTTCAATTTCCAAATGCTAAAAAAGTAATGCTTCATTCTCTGCCAATAATTTCAATTTTGCAAGGACTCTCCAGTCGAAAATTCCCGACAGAGCAACAGAATTCCATAAGAACTAAAGAAAGCTTTCTTTTTACTTTGGATTCCATGTTAGATTTCAATCAATATGATTCCTAATAAAATTCATTAAAATTCAAGTTATTTCACTCACAGTCAAATGCACAAAGATGCTCATAAAATTGAATACATGTAATGAAAGTTCCTCTCAAAATCACAATAAAGAAGTGCATTCACAAAGTAAAGTCCACATCTAATTTTTATCGACTTTTCCTGTAAAGATTAGAATGCCCCCTTGTCCTTTTGGGTGTCGCAGTATTGTATGAGTAAATTATTTCCTCTAGAACCTTATGCATAAATTTCCCTTGCAATCAAAATCTTATCACATACATTCATAAACTTATTGTCAGGCATGTATCTAGAATTTTATCATGAAAAATATTAATCTTATGACCCCGATTTGTCCAAAATGAAGATTTACACATGTTATTAAGTTTTTCACTTCATACGGTTTATAATGAAGGGTCACATCCAATGATAAACGCAATATCTCCCAAATCGCCAAAAATTAATAAAAAGGGATTTTATTCCTATGATATAGAGTTTGCCTATCTCTGAACTAAATATTCCTACATGAAATAAGGTCCACTTCACACCCCCGACTTTATTACGGTAACCCATGATAGGGACCAATTTACTACTTGATTTTTCTCCTTTTAGCTTGCCCCTTCCCCTCCCTGATTTATGCCAAAAGACTATGATAAGAGTCCTCAAAATCGGTTCTAGACTAATGTAATAAATGCAGTGTCAGGATCCTTGAGATGGGCAATATTTTAGTTTTATATCAAGACATCAACTCTTTTTATTCTAACTGCATCATAATTATAAATTTCAATGATATGGTATGTATCATAAAAATTTCTTTCAATTCTAAAAACATGCATGATATGAAAAATTATTGTGGTTAAATTTTCAGAACATTATTTCTGCGAAGATTTTTAGCTAAAATTACTATTAAGTAAAAAAATCAAGATAACAGATTGGTCGTTTTTGCTACTCATAATACAAATGCATCATATTATTTTTTTTTTAAGTGGGGGGAGGGTGCATACTTTACATCAATGCATATTCTACTTGTCAAAATAGGAAAATAAGAAATTAACATAACTTTTATGGATTCCTTTTTTTAAAAATCTGAAATTCTTTCTACACTGAACAAATATTAAATTTAAACCATGCATGATGAAGTTTTATTTAGGTTCCATTCCAATAATGCCAGACCTCCCTATGCTTATGCCAAGTTTTTATTTGTTAGTCACACTGTTGCCCCTTCTAAAAAGGAAATTTAAGAATTTGTAATATTTTCAGTTTCTACACTTTTATTCTTTTGTCATGTAAAATGATATTATTAAATTTGATCAAAATGTCATAGTTTCTTTCAAGAGAGAGAGAGAGAGAGAGAGAGAGAGAGAGGGAGAGATTATATGAATCCATCTTGCATAAAATTAAAGTCTTAACAAATAAAGTCAAACGATTCTTATAATCACAAATATTGATCTCAGCATTCTTACAAAACACATCCAGTTGTACGAAGTCAAGCATTTCATGGCTGGCTAGATTTATTTGTCAATCATCAAATATTAGATCCGTGAAATGCCTTGCCAACCAGTTGAGATTTAAAGAACCGCCCAACCACTTAATAATATATTGCTCAGTACATAATGTACCTTTACATATGCCCATAGAATTAAGTGTCAAACAGCACTTCAGCCCGTCATTGTGGCTTGGAAATGGCATGTGAGAAAGGGTAAATATTTTTTCTTTCCAATTTCTTTTTTTAAATTCTTAATTCATTTAAATATGACTGCATGTTCAGTGAAAGTAAAATACTTGGTCTTAATGTTTTTTTCATGCTTTTAAATTCTTTCTCAAATTATCTGCATTTGAAGATCGATTTATCATGATCTTATTTTTACATTTTCAATTTCATGACATTACTGAATATTTTCATGAAAGCAAAAAAAAAAAAATTTCTTTATAGAATTCTAGAGGTACTTAAATTCAATCTCCTATTATATAGAAATTATATTTTAAAAGACAAATGCATGTATGTAATTATAACAATGTGAAATTCATCAAAGTGTGCAAAAACATTCAAAACTAATATGAAGTATTAAGATATTAAATTTTTTTTTTGAATTGTCCATGTATTTACCAAAGAAAAAAATATTTTGCATATTTACAAAGGACAAAATTTCACAAATAAAAGATAAGGGGGGGGGGGGCTTCAGTGTGCATGTTTTTTTTCCTGTTTATTTTCATAACCAGTAAATAATACATGATACTGAATTGGTTTGAATGCAGAGTAATCAGTATTCATATTAATAAAAAGTTGTTTTTTTTCCAGTCCTTAAATTTTCTCAATGTATTATTTTTTTTATACTCATATTAAATAAATTTTAGGATAATATAAGTACATGTATATTGTTAAGAAAAGTGCTTAAAATCACAGAAATAAAATAAAAAGCAAACCCTAAAAATAATTTCTAATTTAAAGAAAAATCAACATGCAGTGTGCTGTGTCCAACATTAGGAAGGTAACCAGAGTTATCCTTCCTGGTATTCACTGTGCATTCCTTTCATCATTCAGTTTGTGTTGATGTTTAAATATTGTTGAAATGAAAAATGGGCAGTGATTTTTTAAAAAAAATAAAATATAGGTTTCTATGCCAAACAAATAAAAAAAAAACATGTAACTGTCCATCTTACTTTTTTTTTTGCCTTCAATGGCCATCATCACATTGGTCATCCTCTTACAACCTGTTCAACCATGGGCATGGCTCTGAAAATCATGCACTCTCCTTGTTTTTCATCTTATTACATTTATTTACTAACCTAACATGGTCATCACCAAATGACTGCTATGAGCTTTTATTTGTAAAGGTAAATGTACCTAGGTCCTTCTTACACTTAACTGAACTTTTCTTCTCCAAGTTTAAAACATGTTTAACAAGTTAACAATAAATACGTCAAGCAAGCTTACAGAGTGCAACAGAAATTAAAACAAATTGCATTTTGGGAAACCTTTGAAATGTTTATTAAAACGTGCAATATGATACCAAAAACATGCAAAATTTGGTCTCGCCATTCGGGCAACCTTGGTATGATCACAGGTCGCCCGAATGAATTTCAGGTCGTCCAAATAAAATATCAATTGAAACAAAACTTAATGTGAAAATTGTTTAAAATTTGTTATGATAATTAATAGAAGTTGTGGGTTTGTATTAAAAAATGTAAACCATACATTTTTGGAATGTAAAGATGTCTTCTAGTATTTTATCAAACAAAAATATAAGCAGAATCAGACATGCTAGAATGCTTAAGTTTGTAGCTTAAAATATTTATTTTCACTTGCCATGAAGGCCTAAATAAATAGGGTCAAATAACCCTGGACTGAATTAATCAGGTGTTATATTACAGTGGACACCCAACATGGCTGTCTAGCAGCAGAAAACGATCATTATGATCAGAAAGTTGTAGGGGAAATGCAAGATGTTACAATGAAGATTATTACTATTTATATTTAAGGTGATCGTTGACTAAGTTGACATATTTTATATCTCAAATAAAACTTTATTAAAGACTTTCAGTAAAAATTGCATCAGCTGATTGATCGAACGCAGGTTTGGCAGGAAAAAAAAATCTACTCGGCTGCAATTTGAACATGTTGAATGGGTTGGTTTTGTCACAGGAAAATATGTTTTGAAGGTCTTATGAAGTTTAGTTTAAAATATTAAACATCATTATTAGGCCTAAATATTCCCAACTTGTCCCAGGTCGTCATTTGGGCGAGCCAAACTGAAAATCAGGTCGTCCGAAGTCATTTCAGGGTGGAAATGACGAGGTGATGAGCGTGAATGTCGAACCCTGTGATACACTTATTGATAAATATTTATTATTTTTGAAATATTAAGCCCAATATTATACCATGTACAGGATTATGTTAAATTGTTGATTACATCATTAATATGCCCAGTCCCTTGGACCTTTTTAGTCTCACATGAAAATTAGGCTACTGAGTCCAGCACATTGGAATGTTAGACCTCTTGTGTATTTTACATTAGGGTGAGCGTAGTGAACAGTGAGAACTCTGTAAACTAAATAATAGCGAGCACAGCGAGCGTCGCGAAGCGAGCTCAATAGACTATTGTGTAAGAACAGAGGAAATTCGGAGTTGTACATACGTCAAGCAAATTTTGTTGTGAAACATTCCCAGAATTCCTTTACTACCCAATGTCTTTTGCACAAAAAAATAAATAAATAATAACGTAAAGCATAAAAGGCTTTCAGTTTGTAGAAATATTTCAAAGAAACAACAATAAATAACTCTGAAATGTTTTTCGACCAAAAGTGCACTAGATCTATAGTTTCAGCCAGATGCTCGGCTGTCTCCGTAAGCTCCGACGAGCTCCGTGACGTCATTTGACGTCACAGCTAGTCGAGATGTCTTGTGCGGCTTGATGTTTGAAGTAGCTTTTCAAGTTTTCAAGTGTTTTTGATGGTCTCAACTGCACTCACCCAAACGGTCACACCGTAAAACATATTTTGTATATATGTAAGAACAGAGGATTTTTTTCATGAACTCTCAGGCTGTGTACATAATGTACAAATTTCCTGGAATTCCTTCATTACCAAGATTCCTGGTAGACCTAATTGCAAATATACAACATACTCTCAGTTTCATAAAGATTTGATTACTGCAAGGAACTTAAAAGAAACTAGCAAAAAATTAAAATAATTGCACCTACTTTGTGTGAAATAATATGGCACTTCGGCTATTTAGACTCTGTTACAGACATGAAACTTACATATATACCATGTCATGTGGGGACAAATGTGCACATTGGATTTTTGTGAGTATCACATTGAAGTTGAGAATGTGTCTCATCCATTTTAAGTTTAAAAGGTTGAATCTAAGATGCAAGTGTTTACAAATTAGTTGCGCTCGCCCAAACGGTCACAACAGAAATCATATTAGATTCTTAGGATTGAATTTAAAATAACGTTTTATTGTTGGAATGCAGAGGGTTTCCCCTTTTCCTTTACACATTTCACAATGTCAGACTAAAATTACTTCAGTCCTAAAAAGATAGGGTCTACAAGTACAAGAAATGCATGCTTTGAACAGTATTCCCAGATCAAACGTAGGCTGTACGTTTTGAAACAGATCTCATGCACAAAATACATATATTATTTTATCACTTTGAAATAAGGGTAGACCACAGAGCAATAAAAAAAGATTCATTTTAGGTGTGAGATGTTTCAAATTGCAATGTTTACAATATGAAGTGCATCAGAAAAAGTGAAGTGAAATTTTAAGCATCATTGACACTAACCGCCTGATTTCGGGCGATCTCTCTTGGATTTCGATACAGCTGGATTTTTGCTCATGACTGATGTTTACTTGATTTGACAAATACTTTCTTCTTGAGTGTTGTGTGCTCTGTGAAACTTGGTCGGTGCCCGATCAATTTCTGTCCGCCATATTGTTTCTTGGCAACAACTAATCTTTGATTTTGTTGCAGATCGAGCCCGACGTGAAATACGACAACGAACATAAAGTCTTACCCGACCCGTCTGAGCTGCCAGATTTGTGGGAATGACCCCCACATGAACTGGGAACCCGGGACCCGTGATGATTTCCAGACTCCTCCATATTATATTCCTCAGATAAAGCTGATGATTGTTTATATTTACATGTTTAATGATTAAAGTAATAAACACATTCTCAAGACCACTTTTGGATTTATTATTCAACGTTTTAAAAAAGTGATTTTTTTTTCATGATATTTAAAAGAATTTGTGAACAAACTTTTGTAGTAGATTCGCCGAAATCAGTTTTCCTATATTGCATTTGCCACATTTTTTTTTCAGTGTCAAAACAAGGGTTTTGAGTATAGAACTTTAGTAAATCAAACCGTGGCTGAAAAAGGGATTTTACAGCGAAGTTGAGAGGGGTAAAATTAATCTTTAGTACGTACAGAATTATAATCCTTCATCTCTGATTTGCTTTTTTTTTTTTTTTAAACATCTAAGTGAAGAAAATACTTTAAATCTGCAATTGCCAAAAAAAAATTAAAAAAATAATAAAAATAAAAACTACACTATCATAAATAGATATATGAAATAAAAATTGAAAATAATAAAATAAATTAAATATAATAATTGATTCATCAATACTCACTACTGAGAACTGCGCCCATTTTCACTCGGGCAATGGCGGACATCCCCCTGTTACTTTTTCCTGACATTTTTATCTACAGCGCAAAAAATGAGGTATATGGAGTCAGAAATTAAGCTCGACTTTTATGTGCTTGCATTTTTAAATGTCATTAAACAAAAAAAAAAAAAAAATAACAAAACTGAGAAAATAGGGACCGATGAATAAAAAAAAATTCCTTGGTTTCCCTGCTTACGTTATAGGTTGTTTATTTACAACTATAGTTAATAGAAATGCAAAACGCAAAACATATCAATATATTTACTATATATCCTAATGCATAGGCGTCGGAACCGGGGGAAAATCCATTTTTTGTTGTTGCAAAAATAAACATTACAGGCATTGAAAATTGGGATTTACCCTTTTTTGTTGTTTTAGCCTTAGCCCCCCCCCCCCAAACTTTCGATTACCCCCCCCCCCCCAAACACTTTCAATTTGCTTCTGACGCCCATGTAATGTACATACATGTATATAAAACACACACAAAACGAAATTGAATTTATTTTTAAAATCTTTCAGATCTGCATGATTCAGTTTTGTCTTTACAAGATATATGAAAACGTATTTGTATATGTATGACTAGCTGCAGATCTGTAGCTATCCGAAAAAATATATATTGATAGACCGGATATCCGGTCTATCAATAAGACCGGATATCCGGTCTATCAATATATATTTTTTCGGATAGCTACAGATCTGCAGCTAAGCTAATTCATGTCATTAAAAAAATGAAAAAAGCTTTAGAGAATTATTTTACAGCGGGTACCAGTAATAAATTTCAAATTTTACACGTTTTCCAATTCTTTAATTTCGTGTTTATAGCTTTATGAATTTGTAGATCTTTATAAAACAAACATCGATTATATTTAGATATTGAAAAGGTCAATATGACTTTTGGTCATAAATCCTACTAACTATGTTATTTTAAAAGAGAGAATTAAACATAAATTCAGACATGATTTTTGCTTATGATTTAACAAAAAGTAATTAATAAAACGGATAGATAGAAATGAGAATCTTAAGAAAGTGAAAAAATAAAGCATAACCCGTATATAATAAAAACAATGAAGTACTTGCCTCTTCAACGCAGATGGGCCGTTCATAAAATACCGTTCCTTCTGGAATTTAACATTAATGGTCATTAAACGACCAGATGTTTAGATTAAACACTGAAGTATTTGTCTTACACCAGGCCGTTTATTGACAATCAAATCGATGGCCCCCACTTTTCTTTCAACATGTATGTAAAACACCCTAAGTGCATTTACTGGGGTTTTAAATACAGCTCCTTGAATATTAATGATTATTTTTGTGGCGGATCCAAAGGTTTTGTCTTTCAAACTGTTCAAAGTCACGCAGTAGGAAGATTGTGTTTTGTAAATAATTTATTTTGTTGAAAATTTGGGGCCTTTTGAATCAGGAAACTATGAAGGCTAATGGTACTTTGCGGAACGAAACGGAACGGAACGGAACCAGTTGTGGGGCACCCTAGGGGGGGGGGGGATAAATATGAATATATTATATATAATGAAAATGAATATAATAAGTTACTTTATTACAAATTATTCTGCCATTTTATATCCTAGGAAACCAACCAAAGAAAGTGTCAAGTGTCTGAAGTAAAGGACCATAAAATAAAATGTCTATAAGTTATGAATTATTCTGCCGTTAAGTTTTTGATCTGCTGTGTCATGTGTAGTAACTATGTGAACTGTTTTGAATGAGAGACGTATACCTATCAATGATTTAAAAAAAAATATTAATGCTTTTCCTTCAAAGTTTACTGACAATAGATTATTATGAAAAGAATGTCGTTCATGTGCAGTCTAAAGGTAAAGAGAGTTGTCGCGCTTTGCCAGTATGGTCATTCTCTGGTTCCGTTTCGTTCCGCTAAATACCAATATCCGTGTGGGTATTAGTATTTAGCGAAACGGAACGAAACACAGTTAAGTTGGAATAAGATGATACACATACAAGCATTTTATGTATTTCATTTCATCTCATCTTTTTTATAATCAAAATTTCAGGGGGAAAGAAATATAAGAGACAAGGATGTTTGAAGAGGAAAGTATATCATCCATCATATATCCAGCATAATAAAGCATATCTTTTTTTTTTAACCTTTCAAGCTTCTTCAAAAGTCTTGTCTTTATACAATCGCAGGCCTTGATGTTGATAGGAAAACGTAAATATCATCTCTCTGTCTTCAACTAAATCGATATGCAAAATAAGTTTAACTTTATTATTATGTAAAGGTAGATCTTAAAACGCGTGATTTGCAATTTGCTGTATGCTAACAAATATGTTTACTACCTGAACCTTGATCGATATCTTAAATATTCAGTTCTGCGCTAATAAGAAAAGAAACACACACAACAGGTTCCGTTCCGTTTCGCAAAATACCATTATCCACTACAATATTAGTACTTTGCGAAACGGAACGGAACTATTATATCAAAGGTTTTAAAACTCTGTTAATGAACGACGTGAGATAAGTTTTGTGTCCTGTAAGGAATTGAAATGAAAATCATGCTCAGCATTGAAATTATTTTGACGACAGTCCTAAAAATTCTTCTTTTTTTTTTTTTTTATAAAATACAATTAAACAAAAAGTTTTGTTAACTTTTCATTTTCTGTAAGTTAAATACCATTTATATTTGAAAAGTAGAGGCAAGAAAAAGTGTTTCAAAATGATCAAATGTTGTTCCGTTCCGTTCCGCAAATTACCAATATCCACACGGATATCGGTACTTTGCGGAACGAAACGGAACCACATCTTTTTATTTGAAGAGAAAAAAACAAGAACCAACCAAAAACAACCTAAATCTGCCGTAGTATTCATCAACCAATTTTTTAGCTTTCATGAATCCTGGGTAAATCAGAATACTGTAGAAGTACTTTTTTCCGCGTGGTATTAATTTACGCTATGTACACGGTCACAAATTTTCCGCGGAAATTTGTCCAAGCGTACTTAATATAAATGTAAGGCATGTAGTGACAATCTAGAAAATCCGCGTAATTTTCTACCCGCGGATTAAACAGAAATTGAGATTCCGCGGAATTATGACCCCGTGGAAAAAAGTATGTCTACAGTATTCCAAAATTAGTTTAACTGAGAGAACAAGTCATTTTTAATTAAAGGAAAATATATGACATTGACGTAACAACTTATTTCTTCATATATTTATTCCATTGTGTTTTAGTTTTGCTGAGATTTGTTTAGTTCCGCTGAATACTACTAATTATTTCTGTAGTGACTTTGTGAACTGTTTTGAATGAGAGACGTACACCTATCACTGATATAAAATATTATTAATGCTTTGCCTTCAAAGTTTACTGTCAATAGATTATTATGAAAAAAATGTCGTTCATGTGCAGTCTAAAGGAAAAGAGAGTTGTCGCGCTTTGCCAGTATGGTCATCTCTGGTTCCGTTTCGTTCCGCTAAATACCATTATCCGTGTGGGTATTAGTATTTAGCGAAACGGAACGAAACACAGTTAAGTTGGAATAGGATGATAAACATACAAGCATTTTGTTGTTATTCATTTCATCCCATCCTTTCAATCATCATAAATTCAGGGGAAAGAAATATATGAGACAAGGATGTTTGAAGAGGAAATAATTCATCCATCATATATCCAGCATAATAAAGCATATTTTTTTTAACCTTTCAAGCTTCTTCAAAAGTCTAGTCTTTATATCAGTTATATGTACAAATACAATCGCAGGCCTTGTTGTAAATACAATCTCTCTGTCTTCAATTAAATCGATATGCAAAATAAGTTTATCATTATTATGTAAAGGTAGATCTTAAAACGCGTGATTTGCAATTTGCTGTATGCTAACAAATATGTTTACTACCTGAATCTTGATCGATATCTTAAATATTCAGTTCTGCGCTAATAAGAAAAGAAACACACACAACAGGTTCCGTTCCGTTTCGCAAAATACCATTATCCACTACAATATTAGTACTTTGCGAAACGGAACGGAACTATTATATCAAAGGTTTTGTGACGGGGTTCCTCAATAATGGTTAATAATGACGATTGTTTTTATTTACATCATTTATTTACATATCTACAACACAAGATATATCTATAAGAAATCACAATGTTCACAATAAAAAGACACGTCCACACTCATTGACTTTCAGACTTGTACTCCTCTCTCTCACACATGTTCCCAGGGCCCACTTTCTCACACAAATCAATCTAATGCTCACTTTCATCTCTCAGAACTCTATCACGCACAATAAACATCGATAACAGAAATGACAAATAAACAAATTATAATTCTCCCTCTCTTTCTCCCTAACAAGCTAAAATCACACTCTTGGGATACAGGGCTACAACGCCTGCGCCGCACACCTGTAACCTATCAGAACTTCTAACTCTCTCATTTACAATTAATTAACTTGGTTGATTGCTCTGTGACAGTTTTAAAACTCTGTTAATGAACGACGTGAGATAAGTTTTGTGTCCTGTAAGGAATTGAAATGAAAATCATGCTCAGC